TTTTTTTTTTTTAAACAGCCCAATCATGTGACAACACGTGGTAAAATGTAAAAAATGATGTAAAATAAAATATACATGTAGCATGACTGAGAAAAGTTGCTGAAACTATTGAGGATTATTGTGTCAAAGAATGTTCATCTGAATCATTTTAGTTTCAAGGACTGAGAACTTGAAAATTATGTGACACATAAGATTTCAAATGGATGAAAATTAATAGTTGTAATGTCAGAATTATATTAGTTTATGTTTGACTCATATTTATAAATTATCTATAAACACTTAGATCGATTTTTATTCATACATTTCAAAAGATTTATAAGTGTTACATGCATCATTCATTTTTATCTGTTTATAATTTAAATTATTCATAGCACTTCCCACACATTCTTTTAGTAGAATATGTTAAAAGAAATGTATATCAAAATTAGTTTGAACTGAAATGATTGCGTCGTATTTAGTTTATTCTAAATCTTTTGTTAAACAGAGATATAACTTGATAAATAAAAATATTGACGTATGTACATTTAAATTTATTAAGAATATGCTATAGCTCCGGTTCGGTGGAAATTCGAGTCAAAGTAATCAATTAACTTTAATCACAAATTTCACTGGAACTACAACTTTTCAATTACACATTTCATCAACTTTTATCAAGATCAAATAAAAACATGGTTGTCATCTCCACCAAACAAAAGTTTAATGTGTTGTCATATTTCTATTGCAGAGGATTAATCAATCAACTTGCCTTACATGGTTAGCGATAAATATGAACCTGAGGAATTACTTAGGTCATTAAAAAAAAATTATTGAAAAGAAATATAATTTATAATTAGTTTGTGTCCTTTGCTCCTTTGTCTCACTCTTCGACACATATATTAGGTTGAGTTGTGCTTAGTGTATATAAAATATGTATATAGTGGTGTTCACATTCCTTACATGGGGGTGAGACTCGCGCAAGGTGGGCCCATCCTATGTGAGGGTGTAGATACCCTTATGTACATATTTTAAGTTCACCAAGAATTTTACATATGCCGGATGGATTATTCTATTTGAACATAATGGACAGCATAATAGGAGGGGGCGCCACTTGAGTATTATAGACACCATTATGACGTCCATTATGTACCTCAAGTATTGTCCATGTTGGATTGTGCATATAATGGTCTATCAACATTTGATATGATGGAATTTAATTGGATCAAAATCTCATCAATCAAATAACTTTTCCATTTTCATTTTGACACATCAACGTTACGTAAATAGTTATGCATAAGAAGCATTTTCCATATTATATACACGTGCTGCCGCCGAGCTATACAGCAGCCGTTAATAAAAATAACGGAGTTACAGATATATTCCGACCAATTCATAATGTGGAATTAGTGAAAGTTATTCAAATAATGAGACTGCAAACATAAAATTGATTAACAGGGAAAAAAACAAGTACAAATATACAATTTTAGTGAATATTACTCCGTTAATTCCACTAATCATCACGTAGATTGATTGGTTATAACCCATTCCTTAATTTCTCAGAGCCAGAGAGCACCAGCCTGTTTTAGCAATGGCACAAGAGTGCCATTGATGTGAGATGCCAGGACTGTGTCCATGGCCCCCACCAGCTTCCCACCAATGAAGACCACCGGCACTGGCAGGTCGGACGACACTGCTCCCATCTGTAGCATTAAAGCCTTCTCTATTTCCTTTCCTAATGTGAGATCTTGGTCCAGCTCATACACCGTCGGGTTCACACCCATTCCGAAGAAGAGCCTTTTGATGGCGTGACACATGCAACAAGTGCTCATACTGAATATCACCACAGCATTATCAGAGGCCAGTCTTTTAATGTGTGCCGCTGGGTCAGTAACCACACAATTTTTGCTGGTGCTGGTGCTGGTGCTGGTGCTGATGCTGGTGCTGCTCTTTGTGGGCTTATAAGAATTCCGGGACCCTGTTCGATAATGCATTTTCACAAGGATTAACTGGGTGATGATACTAGCTTTGAGGATATTGGAATGGGTTTATTGGATAGCGTTTCTGTTCATTGAGGAAACCGGCTTGTATTTATAGAAACAAAAGGAATAATAAAATATGTCCAAGTGGGAGATCGATTGTAATCCCAAGCATGACGTTTTGATTTTTCAAATTAGGGGCCGGCCGGCGTTCGTAGATAATGATCACTCTTTGAATAGCAAAATGTCATCAAAATCCTCACCTATTATATATTTTTCCACCTAGCAATTAATATGTAAAACTTTACTTAACTAAAAAAGTTGATAAAAATTCAAATCAAGATTAACAATTAATTTTAACCAAACACTTTATAAAATCTACAATTTTTATTAACTTTTAAACAAAGTAGTTCATCAATTTTTATCAAAATTTACTAAACTTTGGTTTTTATCAAAATCAAACCAGAACGTATAGTCTTCTTGAACGAATACACCTAATTATAGCGGCATCAGTTCGCAGATAGCACTAGATATTAAAAACTAAAGTACTTTGCTAGAACTCAGATTATTCGGCTTAAAGCTCTTGTTTGGTCTAACTAGGAAGTTAGATTAAAATTTAAGTCAAAATCAATAGTTAATTTTAATTATAGAGAGTGGGGAATTTTTATTTTTATTTTTTGAAGAAATTCTAATCCAATCACATCTCATCATATCATGTGTATATAAATCATTATATACAATAGCACAATCATTAATTATATATTTCATGGGATCCACAACTTTTTAATTACATAATTTATTTTTTGTTGAAATCAAATAGCGACAAAATAAAAAAAGAGAAAATTACACGAAAACATGGATTTAACGTTTCATTATAAAAAAATCAGACTACTAAAAATTTTATTCAGATACTAATTAAATTATTATCATTATTATAAATGGTGTATGTTATATTAACATTTTCCATTGTTTCCGTTTGTATTCATTAGATGCTTCATCTCTTTAACACCCCACCCTCACACCTACACCCACCCAAAAGTAAATATCTCTAGGGCTGGGCAAATCTCCCGAACCGAACCGACCGAACCGAACCCGAACCGAACCGATCCGAACCCGACGGTTCTTGTCAANCGACGGTTCCATTTACTAGATACCCGAAAAGTTTGGTTCGGTTCGGTTCTAAAGAGAACCGAACCGAACCGACCCGCGCCCACGCCTAAATATCTCCATTCCAATCTCTCCGAATGCATCTTCTTCACTATTCTTTCAATTATTTTCCTTAAAAAGAAAAAAAAAATTCTCTCTCTCCATACAACAACACTTTCTCTCTCTCTATAGATCCGATCATCGTCTTCTTTCGATCACCGTCTTCTCTCAACCATCGTCTTCCTCCAATCACCATCTTCTTCAACTGTCTTCTCCAGATGCGATAAGATTAGAGTTAAAGGTGGAGGTAGAGGTGGAGGTGGTGGTGCGAGACGCTAGTGTGGGTATAATGGTGGCGGTACATAGTTGCTAGAAAGGGCTGTAATGTAGCCCTTTTTTCCTATCTATCTCTCTATGGTGTCGGAGATGGTGAGGTGGGAGATGTTGTGAAAACTAATGGTAGTTGGTGGTTGTGGCAGTGGTGCATTGCAGGAGGTGACGGTGGTGGTGTATCACAAGCTTTTATGATGGTGGGTTTTGGTGTAGGTGGTGATCATGGGGGTACGAGTGGTTGTGGTGGTCAGGGGCGGAGCCACCTTAGGTCCAGTGCAGGCAAATGCCTGCACTGAAAGCCCTGAAATTTTAAGAGTGCAGAGAGAGATATATACAGAATATAGAGAGAGGAAGGTAAGAGGGATAGGAGAAATGAGAGAAATTCCTCCACCAAATTAAACAAACCATTTGACGCCTGCACAAGCCCTGAAATTTTAAGAGATATAGAGAGAGAGATATATAGAAATATATAGAGAGAGGAAGGTAAGAGGGATGGGAGAAATGAGGAGTCTGACAGTTTTGGTTAGTGGAATTCAAATTTGACAAGTGCAAGTGACATTTGTGCATGTGAAGGGAAGGGAAGAAACCACATGTGCAGAAGAACCTCTCTGCATGGCATTGTGGGTCTGTGTGCTGTGTAATCTGTATTGTCTTTTTGCATTCATAAGCAACATAAATAGGTTGGAGTGGGGACCATGCTATTAAATTCCAATTATGCTACATGGTCAAGTAAATGATAGAAAAGTATTTCCAGATTATACTTGGTAGTTTAACATTAGAGAACAGAAAAAAAATCATAAAAGCACTCACTCATGGGATGCCATATCCGGTTTTTTTTTTTTTTTTTCAGCATTATTCATTAAAGTTCACTCTTCAAGGCTGATTTTTTGTTTCTTTATTTGAATTTGAAGATGTTACTATTATAAAGGTCAATAAAACAACAATCAAATTGTAAAATTGAATTGAAACCTTTGATTTAGGTCTATGTGAATAGTTGAAAATAATTTGAGTAATATAGGCGGAATATTTTATTCTAGGACACAAGAATAGGAAATGTTTTATGTGCCGAAAGATAGGGACTTTCAAAATTTCAGTACAATAATAAATTCATGGTCGAATTTATAAACTATATTATCTTTAATATTTTTACCATCATTAAATTCATGGTCGAACTTTACTTTAGATTAAATATTTCATTTTGTTTATTATTTTATTGAGCTTTGGGTTTATAGATTAGTTAAAAAGAAATTGAATGCACATCGAATACAATAATTTAAGGGCTCAAACTCAAAGGATTTTTTGGGTCCCAAAAATTCAGAGTTCGACCTTGATTAAATCGTGCCCGCACTGGAAAAAATTCTTGGCTCCGCCCCTGGTGGTGGTTGTGTATTACAGGTGATGATGATGGTGGTTATCGATTGAGGTGCAGATGGTGGTGGATTGGAGGTCTGAGAGTTTCTTGTTCAATCTATCGACCCAGATATTGATCGTACTTTAGGCCTATTTGGCTTGTTGGTTTGGGTTAAGATGGCAATGGATTGTGGTATTGGTCTTTGTTGTGCGCAAATTTATTTGTGATAACCTTCTATGACCAAAATTGTGCTAATTGTGACTAAGTTTGTCTTTATTGTGACTGATTATGACTAGATTTAACTTAAATGTGACTGTATGTAAACTTATAATAGACAATCACAATGAAGGTAAACTTAAGTTGAAGGTGGTAGTGGTGGTGCATTAGACTGTTTTTGGTGGTGGATAGTCATGGATTGTGGTGTTAGTCTTTGGTTTGTAAAATTGTTTGGGGCAACCCTCTATAACCAAATATATTTATTGTGATCGGGTGTGATCAATTCTGTCTTTATTGTGACTGTCTATGATCAAATTAACAGCGAGTCACAAATTATACTAATTTGGTCACAAATAGTCACACTGAATATAAAGTCACAATTAGTAATAGATAATACATATTAGTGACTTGGTTACATACAGTCACAAATTAGATTGATTTGATCATAGACGATCTGGTCACAATAAATCACAGATAAAATAGGTATGGTCACAAATAATAAATCTGATCACATATAACAAAGTTAGCCACAAATCTCATCAACTACAATGCAACACTATTGCCACCACACAGTATTCAGAGCGTTGCTACCACCTTACCATCACCATTAAGATAGATCAATTCCGATGCACTTTTATCACATGGAATGCACCATCATCGTCATCACGCAGATCTATTTTTTAAACAAAGTACCACCTCACCAACACCATCACCACCTTACAATTATTTTTTGTTTGTAAATGTGTATAGAGAGAGAGAGAGAGAGAGAGAGAGAGAGAGAGAGAGAGAGAGTATTTTTAAATTTTGAAGTTTTCTATAGTGAGGTAGGGAAGGGGTTGGGTTCGTCATGGTGAGGGTATAGAGAGATTTGAATTTCTGAAAATTTTTGGGTTGGATTGGGTTGGGATAGGGTGGGGATTATAATATCAATATGTTAATTGATATATAGAGAGAAAATAAATGTATATTATATTATAATTAATTATACATTTAATAATTTAATTTACCACCTGATTTTTGGAAATTTGTTAATTTTGAAATGTGACTTTTATATATATGAGTTACGTATTATTCCCAATAAAAAATGGTAAACTTTGGACTACATAATATGGCCCACCACACTCTTGATTAAGCCCACAAACTAGTCCAGTTAGCCCTCTTAAAATTAACTACACTTGAACGTTTATAGGATAAAATTCATTAAATTATGGTTAAACAACACAATACGTATTGGTCAAACTGTCAAAAACCACCCTACCTTCTGAAAATAGTACAAAATGTCCCTATTTGAAACGTTTAATATGAAATACTCACTACTGTTCATTTCCTCAGTAAAAAAATTATGAAATGATGAACATCCCCTTCTAATTAAATAAAAATAAAATTAAAAATTTAATTACAAGCATGGTCCCAAAAAAAGTTAAAAATTATAAATAAATCCCAAATAAATAATTAAAAAATAAAAATTGAAAAGAAAATAAAAAATTTACTTCATTTTCCTCTTTCTCTCCCACCACCACCATTTATCCCGAAATTATCCCAAAATGATAGCATAGCTTGATTCATTTCTAATATTTGATGATGTTGAATGTTGCTCTGCCAAGAGTTGCTAATACGGCATCGTTCGAATATGTTAAAAATTATATGAAGATTGTGAATGATCAATAGAGAATTTGTCATTCTTAAAGAGAAAGAAATTATGATTTGCATTTTTATCCAGTTAAGTTGATAATGAAATTGTTGACCTAAAAAATTGTGCCAACAGACTCTCGATCACATTCCCTCTATGTAGGCATCACCTGCACACTGAAATACCCTGTTATGAAGGAAAAGGTCATTCATCGAGAAAAAGGTCTGTGACTGTTTGCACTCCAATAATCAAATCAAATACCAAATGAGAAAAATGTAAGTGCAAAAGATGGGAGAGGGGATTTTGGCTAGGGTTAGAATATTTACCTTTTGTGAAGTGAAGTCGCATAATGGGCCAAGTGGGTTAATGGGTCAAGTCCAAACCCCAAGACATGGTTGTTTAATTAAATAGGCTCAATCAATTGAATGTCGATGCCACTTTGGCATATATGATGACCCCTCCATCATGTGTATGCCACATAAAATATAGCTGTAACAAAAATCATTAGCCAAGGTGTGCTTTTAAGTAGATTTTTT